TCTCTCTGCCGCATAAACAGCGAGCGGTTTAATGAGTCTCTGTTTGGTGACTCAGTCTGTCCGACCTGAACCTTCAGAAGCAGCTCAGAATGTTTCCTGCTCAGACTGGGTCAGACCACATACTGACCCGCTCTGGACCTGGTCTGTACCTAAACCTTACAGTTAACAAAAGCTAACGAAAGGTGTTTATCTGAACGGGGACAAATCACACTAATAAGACCGAATCGTCTCTGGACAGGTGGAAATATGTCCCATCTGAAAAGAGCCAATAAAATAAAAAGTAACTTTACTAAAAGGGGAAAAAACAGAAACAAGAACAAAACTAGGTGTGAACATTTTTCTTCATCAGCTTAAAAAATAAAAAGGAGGCTTTACAAAACTAAGTGAAGCTGCTTCGTCTGTTTCTTTAGTTTGTTACTAAACTAAAGTTACAGAGCAAATGTCTTTAGCTTTCGTTAGTTTATTACATCGGTCGACAGAAGCCAGATTTCAAATCCATCGTTCTTAGCTGTGTTTTAGTCCACGCCCCTCGCCTGGCGTCGTGGCGATAGCCTCGACCTAAACTGCTCTGTCACTGTTCAGTTGGTTTGGACCAAAGAAAAGTTCACGCAGGCCCGGGGAGAACCCACGCAGACATAGGGAGGACATGCAAAGTCCAGACAGAAAGGCCGGGACGACCGGGGTTTGAACCTGCGACCTTGTTGCTGTGAGGCCACCGTACAGATTCAGATCAATAAAGTTTAATCTAATCAACGTATTAATGGTGATTTATTATAATAGATTAAAATAAGACAGAACTTCATTGATCCTGATGGAGACTTTCACGAGATAAAAGTAGCTCCGCCTCCACCAGCCGCACCGTAAACGCATCGGTGCATCAAGACTTACAGATAAAATGTGGCCCCGCTGAAAAGGGACATGAACATCTCGGTTTGAGATTTATTACCTTTTTTACAACAAACACTCATTTTCTAACGTTTTTACTTTATTTTGTTGTAGGTCACTAGTCTGTTTATATCGGCGGTTGTGTTCAGGAGTTCCTGGAAATCAGCTTTATTCAAAGAAACAATAATCTGAAGTAAACCTGGTTACAGCTCTGGAACCTTTATATTCTACCGTTTCCTCTGTTAGTCTTCAAACCCACTGATATGTGCGTGGGAATATTATGTTACGTATTCTGCACATCGAACATTTGGTCTGATATGAAGCGCTTGTTGTTGGAAGCTGCTGTACTATTAAAGTTGCTTTAGCGCCCGCGGCCGCTCAGACTCGTCTTTGAACCTTTGAGACGACTTCTGCTCCTCTCTTCTGTTTATTCGCCATCAGCACGTATGTGTGTGCGTTTGAGGAGTTGCAGGTGTCACATCAAAGCCCTCTCTGACCTTTGACCTCTCAGCAGACAAAAAGGAGAGAAACCGGTCTCTGTTTGTTCCGACTCGTCCAGCTGACAACAGGTGATGATCTCAGCTCACCTGTGACATCATCACCCTGTCTGATCAGGGTAGGAGCCAATCAGAGCACAGACAGATGAGGTAGAGGGCTGCTGTAAACACCCCCACCCCCCTCTTTCTTTAACACCAGTCAAACCAGTTGTACTTCCCTGTCAGAGCGGGCCCTTACGTCGTGAGAGCCGCTCCACTCCCGACTTTGTGATCCAATATGGCTGCTCCGTGTCAACAGTTAGTGAAAGCTTATTTATTTATTAGCACTTCTGCGTCTCATATAAATGTCCGTCCACAAAGTTGTGTTGCTGCTGTCTTTAGTACGCGTCAATACTGCGAGACACGTTTTTATCAACAGCTAACCTGGCTGGTTGTAAACGACGGGTGGCCGAGCGAAGTTTTCTGACTTCTAACTGGAACTCATTTTCAGCTCCGACAGTCCTGTGTACAGATCCTGCTCCGCCTGAGAAGACAAGCTCGGGGGCTGACTGTTCACGCAGAAGATCCTTACTCAAGTAAAAGTAGCAGAAAAATACTCAGCTACAAGTAAACGTCAAAGTAAAAGTACTGTTTTAATCAGCTTCATGAAGGGAACATTTATTCATTTAGCTGTCCGAGGTCTGGACCAACGAGGGGTTAAGTGTCTTGCTCAGGGTCACAGTGGGGGGTTCGAACCCTGGTCTCTCACACCAAAGGCGTGCGTCTTATCCACTGCTCCATCACCACCACTGGAACCTTTCATTGGCAAATGTATGTGCCTCGTTTTGCACGGTTTGACGACTGATGAGATCGGATGCAGTAAACGTCTCATTAAAGCTCCTTAAATCCATTTCTGTCCATATTAACACGTTAAATTCAACGGTTCTCTTTGTGTGCGTCTCACACAGACACAGCTGCTGCTGCTGGACTCTAAGGCAAAGCACCATCACGTGATGGATTTCAGAGGAGGAGCGGGGCCAGTGCTATCAAATCCTGAACGTCACTGCAAACAGCTGAGTGCAGGAGGAGGAGTCCACTGAGCTCCCGTTCCTCAGAGAGGCAGACGTTAAGCTGAATAAGACAGAAAAGCAGCCTGCTCATAAACAGCAGCAGCTACAGCGCGCACAGTGTAACGGCTGGGGATAAAATGAAAAAGTCTCGCAGGCGGCGAAACAACAAGAAAATGTACCATTAATCTTTTCAGGTTTAGAAAATAAACTAACATGTGGTTGTCAGACACAGAGGGAAGAGGCAGACCCCGAAACGACCAGGCTTTAAAACAGCGGCGCAGCTGATCCAGTGTGAAATCTTTGACAATGTCCTCAGTAAAAAATCCAAAAGGATCTTATCTGGCAGCTGTGCGACCCTCTGCTCCTCTTCTTAAAACTCCTTCACTGTGTGAAAGGCCCCGGTGCATCTGCACTGTGTATACCTGGGCCCCTCTGTGCACTTAGTGTGAGCTGCTGTGGATAACAGCTAGAGGACAAACAGAAACGTTGGAGCCTTGGACAGAAGCAGGCCACTGTCTTCTAGCCTAGCTTAGCAAAAAGACTCCCTACAGACAGATCACCTCGCTCTGCGCCGCTCCTCTAATCGGCCCCCGATCACTCGTCCATCTGTGGATCTGATCAGACGTGTTCATGCAGGTCAATCAGCTGATCGCACACACGTGTAATCCCGTGTGAGTCACCGGGCTGCGTGTGTGCGTGGAGATGAACAACGCACTGATAAGTGTGTGCAGACTTAAGCAGCTGAGTCAGCAACCAATTATATTCTTCCTCATCAACACACACACACACACACACACGTTTGTAGACGTTTGTAACCCCCGGGGGGGGCAGGGCGGGTCACGCCGGGCCAGAACACGCTTCTGTGAACAAGACACAAAGAGATAACTTATCACAGGTTTCCTGGAAGACGTTCATAGTGACCTCAGTCATACATACCCGCGCTCTCGGAGCGGCGGCTCTGGGGACTCTCACAGAATCTCGCGAGATTTTAGGAAATGGAACTATGAGGTCATTTTTTTAACAACGGAGGGGAAAAGTTTTGCATAACGGCGAATCGAGAGGTCGTAGACAGAGTCAGCAGACTTAAAGCTCCTTTTTGGGTCATTTTAGAACGAGTAGCTTGATTTTTTTAGCTTAAGGAATGTTTTTTTGGAGAACCCACATTGTTTCCTCTTTATTTAACTGCAGGGTTTTTTTGTGCAAATAAAACTTTCATGAAGCTTTTCTTTTTCAGAACCTTTAGCGGTGACATGTCTCCAGCTCCACTGTCCATGATTTCTCAGCTCTCGTCTGGCGTGCAGCCGGCGTCAGATCTGTCTGCTTCCTGTCTCTCTGCAGCGACGGTCAAATAAAGGCGAGAAGCCAAAAATCTGTCTGGAAGGAAATGAAGCTAAAAACCGCTGCAGGGTTGTTAACATGAAACACTGACGGCTCCTTTAAAGGCTTCAAGTCTGCAGCAACGTGCTGTGTTCAGGTACAGTTTGTAGCAGAGAGCGCCGACCCAACCCGTCCGGAGGCACATCTGCAATGCAGCAGGAAAATCAGAGTGAGCTGCAGAGGGAGGAGAGCTCTCTCGCCCTCTCTCCATTTCTTTCTTGTCTTTTCCATTCACAATAATAATTAATAACATTATAAATTCCTTCCTTGAATGTCCTGATAACATATTTACTTTAATTCATATTTAATACTAAATCAATATAACGGAGGGAGAGGATTTAATCTGATTTATTGTTTTTAATGCTGCGTTTATGTCCACTCAGATTTCTTTATTCATCTTCATGCTCTCAGACGCTCTACAGTAATCACAGCTTTAGTCTGTTAAATATTTTCCATCGTTACAGGTGAAACTAGTAGAGAATAAAAGAGTAAAATGAGCTGCTGGGTTTTTGGAACTGAAATATTTCAGATGTAAAGCAGCGAGACTCCATCTG